TCTGCACTGGTGGTTGGTGGTTTGCTCCGCACAAGAAAGCGCTCCATTTTCCCTCTTGCGTGTTTCTCTGTTTTAATGTTGTCCTTCAGCCTTCGATGTGTCACGGTCTTATAATTCCCACCTGCAACTGCGTTAACAGCGAAATATGGGGTTCTGTGAGGATTTATTTTTAAAGAATTGTTTTTAGGTATAGAGTTTGCCTCTGTATTATGAAATGAGTGCATACAAAGTACTGATATAGTAAATTAAAAAATAATTATTTTTGTGTAGTTGTATATTGCAATAATAACGTATGGTTGTCACAAAATCCCACGGCACACCCGGACTTGCCTCACGGCACACCAGTGTGCCGCGGCACACCGTTTGGGAACCACTGTGTTAAGGTCTGTGTTCTCAGGTGTGTGTGTGTGTGTGTGTGTGTGTGTGTGTGTGTGTGTGTGTGTGTGTGTGTGTGTGTGTGTGTGTGTGTGTGTGTTCTCAGGTGTGTGACGAGGCTCTGTACAGTCTGCGTATCCAGGACAACGGGCGGTTGTTGGCGTGTGGCAGTGAAGGGGGCGGAGCCTCTCTGCTGGAGCTGAGCAGCGGCCTGAGGACCAATCAGAGCAACGACAAGAACCTGCTGGCTGCTGTGAGAACTGCACTTTATCATTATTATTATTATTATTTGTATTTTTAACATTATATTAATATTATTGTTATTATTATTTTTCTCAGGTTACATTATTATTGCATTGATTATAGGCTGAGTGCAAAAGTATTCACCCCCCTTGGCATTTTTCTTGTTTCATTGTTTTAAAACATTTAATTTAATTAGATTTTTGGAGAATTTGTATTATTTGATGTACACAACATGCCTACAACTTTGAAGATGCAAAAAATATTTTTTATTGTGAAACAAACAAGAAATAATAATGAAAAAGAGAAAACATGAGCGTGCATAACTATTCACCCCCCTAAAGTCAATACTTTGTAGAGCCACCTTTTGCAGCAATAACAGCTGCAAGTCTCTTGGGGTATGTGTCTATAAGCTTGGCACATCTTTCCACTGAGATTTGCTTCCATTCTTCTTGGCAAAACTGCTCCAGCTCCTTTAGGTTAGACTGGTTCCGCTCGTGTACAGCCATCTTTAGGTCATACCACAGATTTTCGATTGGATTAAGGTCTGGGCTTTGACTAGGCCACTCCAAAACGTTTACATGTTTCCCCTTAAACCACTCTAGCGTTGCTTTAGCAGTATGCTTTGGGTCATTGTCCTGCTGGAAGGTGAACCTCTGCCCAAGCCTCAAATCTCTGGCAGACTGAAACACAGTTTCCTCAAGTATTTAGCTCCATTCATCACTCCTTCTATCTTGACCAGCTTCCCAGTCCCTGCCGATGAGAAACATCTCCACAACATGATGCTGCCACCACCTTGCTTCACTGTGGGGATGGTGTTCTGAGGGTGATCACAGGTGTTGGGTTTGCGCCAGACATAGCGTTTACCTTGATGGCCAAAAAGTTCAATTTTAGTCTCATCCGACCACAGGACCTTCTTCCACATGTTTGGGGAATCTTCCACATGCCTTTTGGAGAACTCCAAACATGTTTTCTTATTTTGTTTTGCGACTCTTCCATAAAGCCCTGCTCTGTGGAGTGTACGGCTTACTGTGGTCCTATGTACAGATTCTCCTCTCTCTGCTGTGGAGATTACCAGCTCCTTCAGGGTTACCCTCGGCCTCTTTGTTGCCTGATCAATGCTCTCCTTGCACGGTGTGAGAGTTTTGGTGGGCGGCCCTCTCTTGGCAGGTTTGTTGTCGTGGCATATCTTTTCCATTTTAAAATAATGGATTTAATGGTGCTTCGTGATGTTCAAAGTTTGTGAGATGTTTTTATAACCCAACCCTGTCTCATACTTTCCCACAACTTTGTCCCTGACCTGTTTGGAGAGCTCTTTAGTCTTCATGGTGTTGTGTTCTTGCTTAGAAAGGCCACTTGCTGTGGTATGGAAGACGGAGGCCTTCGACAACAGTTGTATAATGATAATTAATTAATATAATAATTAGAGATAATGAGGCACTTGATTTAACACAGGTGAACTTTATTTAAATAACTGTGTGACTCTGAAGGTCTTTGTTTGGGCTAAATAGCAAAGGGGGTGAATACACATGCACACACCACTTTTCAGTTTGACATTTTTTGTTATGTTTTAAAACGTGCTCTTTTTTTCTTTCACTTCACCAATTTTGACTGACTTTGTGTGGGGTCTTGCCCCCCCAAAAATATTATATTATTTTTGGTTTTAATGCAAGAAAATAGGAAAAATGGCAAGGGGGGTGAATACTTTCGCAAGGCACTGTATATATAATGAAAATAGAACCCTACCCACTGTCAGGATTTCAGACCCTCTGCCTGTGCTCTTCCCTGTTTAGGGGCTGTTTGTTTGGATTGTTTACTTTAGGGTCTTCACGACCTCTGTATTAATTTGTGTCCCCCCCCCCGCCCCCCACCTCAGATGCTGGAGCGGGAGACCAAGAGGGAGAGAGTTCTGGAGGCCCGGCAGAGGGAGGTGCGTCTGAAGGAGAAGAGCCGCTCTGAGGAGGAGGGGGGGGGGGTCCGTCTGAAGGAGAAGAGCCGCTCTGAGGAGGAGGGGGGGGGGGCAGGACGGAGAGGAGAGTCCTGAACAGCTGATCAGCCGGGCGGAGACACACTTCTACAGCCTCACCGAGAGGGGGGGGGTGAGACACACACACACACACAAACACATGCACATACATACACACACACACACACATACACACACACACACACACACACACACACACATACACACACACACACAACACACACACACACATACACATACACACACACACACACACACATACACATACATACACACATACACACACACATACACACACACACACACACAAACACACATACACACATACACACACACACACATACACACATACACACACACAAACACACACACACACATACACACACACACATACACACACACACATACACATACATACACACATACACACACATACACACACACACATACACACACACATACACACACACATACACAGAGACACACACAAACACACACACACATATACACACACACACATACACACACACACACACACATACACACACATACACACACACAAACACACACACATACACACACACAAACACACATATACACCACACACACACACACACACACACACACACACACACACACACACACACACACACACACACACACACACACACACACACACACACACACACACACACACACACACACACACACACTGATTCAGAATAACAGAGACATTAATGATTGTATGTTTCCAGGAGAAAGACGTCTGTGAAGAAAAGGAGGAGAAGGAAGACTAAAAATATATTCATTCAAAATGTCATTTGTTTTAATGTTCAATAACGAAATAAAGAGTGAGGTTCAAAACGTTGTTGTTAAGTATTATTTTGTAATAGCACCCTTACTCCATGTTTAATGGTACGTCCCGTTGTGACGTCATAAGCATGATAAGCACGGAGCGCTATATGTATCATGTTGATTACGCAGCACTGCTGGTTCATGGCCTGAATAAATGGATGAGAGAAGAAAAATTACTGCGCATACTTTATTAGCTCAACAGGTTATGGGCCCAGGCAAATTGGACTCATGTTAGTTTTCCGGAAGAAGTGTAACGCGAAGTATTACACGGAACTTCTTCAAACTATGTGGACCAATAAGTAAAGAAGTGGCGGAAGTTATTACACGTGACGTATTACGTGAGAACCCAATGCTAACAAGCTAGTTTAGCAAGCTAATCGCTGTGCTAACAAGATGGCAAGCAGAGCAACGGGAGTTTTCGCGCCACAGCTTTTGTTCGATGGAACCGACGATAAGTATGACCTTTGGGAAACAAGATTCTTAGGCTGCCTACATATCCTGAAATTAAAAGAAACTGTTCTCCATGAACCCACTGGAAACAGTCCTGAACAGCTAGCAGAAGACAGGAAAAAGAATGCTGATTGCTATGCTGAGCTAATAAGACTGATAGATGATAAAAGCCTATCACTGATAAGACACGATGCCGCTGATGATGGCAGGAAGGCTCTAAGAATATTGAAAGAACATTATTCTGGAAAAAGTAAACCACGGATAATAAACCTCTACACGTCGTTGACCAAGCTACACATGACAAACAGCGAAAGTGTTACCGACTACCTTATACGGGCGGAGAACATTATCACGGCTTCGAGGGAAACGGGTGAGACCATGAGCGACGGACTCATAATCGCCATGATAATAGGAGGACTACCAGACACCTTTAAGCCACTGGCTGTTCATGTAACGCAGAATGAAGATAACGTTACATTCATAGACTTTAAAAGGAGACTGCGTGTATACGAAGAGGCAGAAAAATGTAAGATAAAGAAACCACAGATAACGTGATGAAAACTAATGTTCGACAAAGCAGAGTGTCTGCTAACAATAGAAAAGAAGAAGATGCTAACGTTATATGCTACAAATGTGGAATAAGAGGGCATAAGGCAAGAACATGTTACAGAAAAGTGTGGTGTGGTTACTGCAAAAATAACACGAAGAATCCCTGTGCAAGAAAAAAGGGGACAAGATGGTGTCAGAGGAGGAAAACAGCAAACAAGACTAATTCTTCAAGGCAAAGCACACGAAGAGCGGGAGACCTCCAGACAACGTAGAGATGAGAGGCATCATGGTGGACGCTGGAGCAACATCCCACATCGTGAACGATATTGAAAAGTTTGACAGCTTTGATGACTCATTCCTTTCAGGGACACATTCAGTGGAGTTAGCTGACGGGACCAAATGCAGCAGAATAGCACAACGCAGATGAACAGCGATCGTGTATCTGCTAGACAACTGGACGACAGCACAGAGCAGAGCTACGGGATACACTGTACATACCTTCATACCCACATGACATCTTCTCTGTGGCAAGAGCGGCAAATGGAGGAGCGACAATCACCTTCAAGAAAGGAGAAAGCCATATGGTTACCAAGGACAGTAGCAGATTTGACCTCCACGAGAGTGGACATTTGTATTACTTGCCAACTGTTACAGAGAATGTTGAAAAATGTAAAGGGTGTCATGATATGCAAACTTGGCATGAGATTTTGGGTCATTGCAACTATGAAGATGTACAGAAATTACAAAGTGTAGTGACAGGCATGGAGATAAAAGGAACAGCAGTTAAGCCTACTCAGTTATGTGAAGTGTGTACACAGGGAATTCCCACAGACTAGAAATAGGGAGCCAGACAGAAAGGCTGAGAAACCCTTAGAGCTAGTACATACTGATTTAACTGGTCCCATGTCAACACTGAGCAGAGAAGGCCACAGATATGCACAGTCATTTACAGATGACTATTCAGGCACCGTGATGGTATATTTTCTGAAGTCAAAAAGTGATACAGTGCAAGCCACAGAAAGGTTCTTGGCAGACATAGCACCTTATGGAGAAGTCAAGTGTATTCGTTCAGACAACGGCACTGAGTTTACAAGCCGAGACTTTCAGGCACTCTTAACTAAAAATAGGATTAGACATGAAACGTCTGCACCCTATTCACCACACCAAAATGGTACAGCAGAGAGAAGCTGGCGAACTCTCTATGATATGAGCAGATGCTTATTGATAGAGAGTGGGTTACCAGACAAGCTATGGAACTACGCTATGCAGACTGCAGCTTTTGTAAGAAACAGGTGCTACAGCAGGCGCACAAAGAAAACGCCATACGAGTTGTTCACAGGCAAAGAGCCAAATGTATCCAAACTGCAAACATTTGGTACAACATGTTTTGCTTACAAACAAGAAAAAGGGAAGCTAGACTCTAGATGTGAGCAAGGGGTTTTCATTGGCTATGATAAAAACAGCCCAGCTTATCTGGTGTATTACCCAGAAACAGAGAGGGTGCAAAAGCACAGGTTGGGGAAATTCACAACCAAAAGCGCAAAAGAAAAGGAAACACAAACATCTGAATCACACATAGAATGTGGTCATGAGGATGCACACTCCAGGGCCATAGGCAATGATATACATGTGGAAAATGTATCAAGTCATGGTATTCAGATTTGTGTGCCTGAGACTTTACTTGAAGAGACTGAATGTACACAGCCGAGTAAAGCCACAGAGACTGTAACCAAAAGGTATCCACGGAGAAACAAAAGGAGACCAACTCATCTACAGGATTTTGAGACTGAGGATGCAGAGGACAAAGCACAAACATGCATGGACTTTTGCTACAGAGCAGTCTGTGATATCCCTCAAACCTACAATGATGCCATAGTGTCGGCAAAGTCAAGGCAGTGGAAGAATGCCATGGACGAGGAGATGCGATCTCTGGAGGAGAACCAGACCTTCCACCTCACCAGTGGCGGCGCCAGGGTATGGCTGGGGTAGGCTACAGCCATACCAAGAAATGGCTTAGCCCCACCTTAGCCCCACCATGAAAAGTGATGCAAATTCAATTAAATAATAAGCGAAATGCTAAATGTTGAGAACACGGATTGCGAAAATATACGGGTCGTGTCCACAGCACACAAACTGATCCTGCTGTAACAACAAGTGCACGTTACTGATGCAATATGGTTGAGACCATTCGGGCTTATGCTATAAGAGGGGTGCAAGGAATAGTCTAAGTAGTGGGGGAGTTTTATACACTAAAGGTGTGGAAATTCTCTGGCGTTATAATATCAGCGCGGCTGCGGTCAGATCAAAATGCCTCCGAATGCAATTTGAATAGACCTGACCTACAGCCAATCAGAGCAACGCAACGTTGGATCTGCGTCATGCCTTATTGATTGAGATCAATCGAAACCGCCATTCAGTATCCCCATTGGATCTTCAACGTGTACTATCATACGTCACGTTCACAGTGATCCCTTTTTATTTACTACAAGACAAATGTGCCGTTTTATTTCATACAGTTCCATTTTGATTGAGACAGGGAAATAATCTAAACCTCACGCGTGGCGTTTCACTGTCAAGGGGGGCGATATAGCGTGTATGTAATTACATTGCAAATACTGACTTGAGCCCCACCACTGTATGGGTTAGCCCTACCATAGATTACCCAACAAAAATGCTCTGGCGCCGCCACTGCACCTCACCCAGTTGCCACCAGGTAAAAAGGCAGTGGGGGGAAGATGGGTCTATGCACTCAAAGGTGACATTGATGGATCAGATAAATACAAGGCAAGATTTGTAGCAAAAGGCTACAGTCAAAAACCAGGAACAGACTACAAAGAGACATTTTCTCCCACAGCTGATATGACAAGTGTAAGAGTACTCGTGCAGAAAGCAGCACAAGAGGGACTCATTTTACACCAGATGGACGTTAAGACAGCCTATTTGCATGCACCCATTGATTGTGAAATCTATATGGAGCAACCAGAAGGCTATGAAGAAAAGTCAATAACCGGGGAAAACCTAGTTTGTAAGTTACAAAAGTCTCTCTATGGCCTTAAGCAATCAGGTAGAAACTGGAATGCTATATTACACACATGTCTGAGTGAGAATGGTTTCATACAGAATCCAGCTGATCATTGTGTGTATACAAGAGAGAAACATGATGAAAAGGTCATCATGATTGTATGGGTTGACGATCTGATCATAGCAGCAAGCAACAAAAATGTATGCAAAGATTATGCTTTCTGACAGGTTTAAAATGAAGGACCTGGGAAAGTTGAAACATTTCCTGGGAATTGATTTTTACCAAACAGAAGGTGAAGTTAAAATGTCTCAAAAGAAATATATAGGCAAAATCCTAGAGAGGTTCGAAATGCAGGATTGCAAGGCCAGGGGGACCCCATGTGAGCCGAAACTTCAACAAACAGATGATTCTGAAAAATGGACAGACCCAACTAAATACAGAGAGGCAGTGGGAAGTTTAATTTACTTGTCCACATGTACTAGACCAGATATAGGTGTTGTGGTCAGTAAACTGTCTCAGCACTTGGCTGAACCAACAGAGGAACATTGGAACTCAGTAAAACATGTGTTAGATATCTAAAATAATATTTTTTTTAAATAAGCTTTTTTTTAATGAAGTCATTTTGTTCTAACACCAGGTCACTAATATTTATATATTTATATATTCTGATATTTATATATTTGTGTATTCAGATATTTATATATTTATATATTTGTGTATTCATATATATCTATCAGACCCTGCTGAAGTGTTCTCTGCGGTTTGGAATGGGGCCCTTTTAACAGATCTGTGGTCTGACGCAGCAGGCAACGTAAAGTCCTGACGTAGGCACGTTTACGTCTGACGTAAACACGCTGTGCTTGGAACCCGGAAGTGCTCTCGCAGTGTTTACATCCTCTCTTTGTTCCGAGACGAGACAACAACAACAACATGTCCAAGAGACGCTGCAGATCCGGGACCAGCAGGAAAACTGATCAGACCCGGAGCACCGGGACCCGCGAGGAGACTAGGAGCACCGGGACCCGGACCCGCAGAACCAGGACCGGATCCAGGACCCCCGATGAGACTCGGTCCCTGCGGGCTCTGGTGCAGCACGCGCTCTCTGCGGTCGCTGCGGAGGTGCTGCTGCTGCTGGAGGAGCGCGTGCTGCTGGAGGAGCGTGTGCTGCTGGAGGAGCCCGTGCTGCTGGAGGAGCCCGTGCTGCAGGAGCTGAAGCAGCGGGTCACGGAGAGAATCACCGCCGCTGTGGAGATCATCTTCTCCGGGTTCAGATCCTCCAGAGGACCGGAGGGACCTCCAGGCACCGCTCCGGGTCAAAGTAACAATACTTACTTATTAACGTTATTGTGTGTGTGTGTGTGTGTGTGTGTGTGTGTGTGTGTGTGTGTGTGTGTGTGTGTGTGTGTGTGTGTGTGTGTGTGTGTGTGTGTGTGTGTGTGTGTGTGTGTGTGTGTGTGTGTGTGTGTGTGTGTGTGTGTGTGTGTGTGTGTGTGTGTGTGATTGATTGATTGATTGATTGATTGAAAAGTTTATTAACAGCTTGTATATTGGGTACAGTACAGTACAGCTCAAAACATACAATTGTTAAGGGGATGCAGACCAGAGAAAGACTTTCGTCTTGTTTACATCAGGGTCCCCCCATTTCCAATTCATCATATCATTTAAGACATATAAGACATATTTGACATACAGATGGCTTATTTACAATTTACATACAGGTGGTTTTTTACATACAGATGGCTTATTTACAATTTTCATTTTAGATTTCGTTCTAATACATCCTAACCGGACATTTAAGACATACCAAGTCTACAGATGTGTGTGTGTGTGTGTGTGTGTGTGTGTGTGTGTTTCCGTTAGCCGGTAAATACCGGAAAACAAATTGATATGATTCGATATTAAACAAACTAATTATAGTAGATCAACTACATTATTCAAAAGTGTACAGTAATTTACAAAAACACGGGAATAATAAACGGAGCGCTCTCTCCCTCTCCTGACAGCCCGCCAGTATCATGCAGCTCGCTGATCCAGTAATGAGTGACCCGACAGTAAAACTAAACATATCTATAACTAGTTTAGGTAGTTTTTAAAATAGCTACGTGTGATGTTCTAACCTGAAGTGTGTTTTGCTCCGCTCACCGCTGCATGTGATCATGCAGAGATGCGTGTCGACTCGTCAGCAGCAGCTGATCTCTCTCTCCCGTCAGATTAGACTTCACTCGTGTTTATGTCCATATCGATATCGATAGCTAGTTCTAGCTAATGATATGACTACCTGCTTATTAAAAGACACCTCAACAATAAGCGTCACTATGCAACCGGGTGAGGCCACAAAGTATAGCGCAGCATTATGCATTTGTTTACATGCCCAACGCTGTGTGTGTCCGTCAGGAAACACGCTGTTGACAAGTAGTTCCAGCAAACATCCACTGATAAATTGCGATGTTAACAACCTCATGATAACCTCATATTTTTTTAACTTAGGATCATACCTGTGTTTAGTCTAGAAAAAGGTTAATGTGTGCATTTTATTATAAAGTTGTGTATATTTACAGACTGTTGCAAAAACTAAGAAGCTTATAAACATCAGGTTTAAAACTAAAAGAGCTTTACAAAAAAGTAACACAATGAAAGATGTTTGGAGTTTTATTTGAGTTCTTAATTTACATTTTTTGTCTAAGAGATGCTGATTTGAAACCGTTGTTACATACAGTTGCGGCATTTCCTGTTTCTGCCGGAGAGAGGGGAGTTTGTCCCAAAGCTTGCCGCTGTATTTACTCCCTCCATCTGACAGGAGGGAGCCTCATTCAGCTGCGAGTGTGGCTACAGACGGAGTTCACTCCGTCACGGAGGGGTAGGGTCGAGGGAGTGGTTTGGGATTGGGCCTTCTTGTCCGTCACATACTCTTCTTGTCTGTGTGGGTGTGTGTGGTTCCAGGTGTGTTTGGTTCCAGGTGTGTGTGGTTCCAGGTGTGTGTGGCTCCAGGTGTGTTTGGTTCCAGCTGTGTGTGGTTCCAGCTGTGTGTGGTTCCAGGTGTGTTTGGTTCCAGGTGTGTTTGGTTCCAGGCAGGGCTCTCGACTAACTTTTTTCACCATCCTCCCGGAACCGTCCCGAAATACAATCTAATAGCGCGTTTCCACTACAGCGCGGAGCACGGTTTAAGAGGGCTGTGACGTCAGCGGCCCGTCTTTGGTTGCGTTTCCACTTGGCCTAGTACCGGCCGGCGGGTCCTAATTCACAGTTTTTCTGGCCTCATAAAATCGCGGGTCTAGGGCCAGAGACAACGAGGCTGAGTCAGGCTGAGTATGCTAAACTAGAGAGAGCATCGCTGGCAAGGGGGCTACAACTACAACAAGATGGACATATTTGACCGTGATTTAATAGTAATACACGTTTCAAAATGATGCCGAAGTAACAACATACTGATACCGGTTAGTAAAAACCATGAATTAATGCTTTGTCAAGTCTGCAGACAGACGGCAGGCGAAAAACCTTTTAAAATGCGTGTTTTCTAAATGGAGATTGGCTAAGCTAACGCAGTATATGCTCCGACCGTCCACACTCACAACAACGGCCTATACAGACATAAATAAAGCAGCGACTGTATTCACCATGACACAGGCAGTCTGTGGTTTGTACTTGTTTAACTTTTGTCTAGTTTCTGAACAGATATGAGGAGCTGTGAGCTCTGAGTGCTAACAGCTAACGGCTGTGTTGTTTTTCTGGGGTTCTCATTGAAGATCACGTCACGGCTCCGCCTACACTGCGTTACTATAGATACTACCCCAGTTCCTAAACTGTAATGGAAATGCGCCATAAAGTGAGCCAGTCCTAACGAGGCCCAGCCATACCGAGCGGGGCCGAGCGAGGCCGTGTAGTGGAAACGCGCCATAAGCCGTCCCGAAATTAAAGGTAGGGGTAGGTAAGTTTGAGAAACCGGCTCGCGATACACTTTTTGTTATATTCCATGGAATGCTCTTAACATCCCGATAGCAATGAATATCTTAAGTGTTTTGACAAAGAATCCATAAAAAAATGTCATCTGTGGAAGCTGTAATACTGTAAAAAGTACGACCAATCATTTTAGCCGGCCCGGCTAAAATAACTGGATGGCCTACCTGCCTGTCAGCCTTCCATCTGTGCACAAACTTATCTCGTGCCCTCATTGGTCATGTGCGCGTTCGTGTGTGTTGGAGGAGGGGCTCTGTAAGGAAGTGGCAGATTTTCTCCGGTTGTGTATTTTCAAATTCTAGCGATCTCGAGCCGGTTTCTCAAACTTACCTACCCTACCTTTAATGTGGACCGTCCCTGAATTTAAAAATATTTTTGTTATATTTAAAATGTTTTTCTACATTATCATTAGTTAAAATCATTCAAAGTGACCTTTAACATAAATAAAACATCATACAAATCATTAGATGATAATTAATCAACCTTTTATTTGAGTAAATCAGTCAAACACAGAAACAAAGGCCAAATATATTTTTTAAAACACACAAATGAGAAAGTTACTCTAATATTGAATCAAGTCCCATCCGATTGACAAAAACATCCAACACTCTGTCCTGAAGACAGAAGACAGAAGACAGAGTAACCACTAATCAGGATGACAGTCTGTAACACAGTCAGGAGACCTTTACAAACCGCCCGCCCCCTCGCACACAGACGGGAGAGAGAGCTCTCGTCTGGATTGGAAAGATCGAAAATACATCATAGACGCATTTTGTAGTCTTATTGCATATTAGAAACAGAGTTGGGGAAACTAAAACTGCAATATAATGTTCATGTAGCAGTAATACACATGAAGTATGTTTTAATACAGTACACATGAAGTATGTTTTAATACAGTACACATGAAGTATGTTTTAATACAGTACACATGAAGTATGTTTTAATACAGTACATATGAAGTATGTTTTAATACAGTACACATGAAGTATGTTTTAATACAGTACACTATGAAGTATGTTTTAATACAGTACATATGAAGTATGTTTTGAATACAGTACAATGAAGTATGTTTTAATACAGTACATATGAAGTATGTTTTAATACAGTACACATGAAGTATGTTTTAATACAGTACACATGAAGTATGTTTTAATACAGTACATATGAAGTATGTTTTAATACAGTACATATGAAGTATGTTTTAATACAGTACACATGAAGTATGTTTTAATACAGTACATATGAAGTATGTTTTAATACAGTACACATGAAGTATGTTTTAATACAGTACACATGAAGTATGTTTTAATACAGTACATATGAAGTATGTTTTAATACAGTACACATGAAGTATGTTTTAATACAGTACACATGACATGAAGTATGTTTTAATACAGTACATATGAAGTATGTTTTAATACAGTACACATGAAGTATGTTTTAATACAGTACATATGAAGTATGTTTGAATACAGTACACATGAAGTATGTTTTAATACAGTACATATGAAGTATGTTTTAATACAGTACACATGAAGTATGTTTTAATACAGTACACATGAAGTATGTTTTAATACAGTACATATGAAGTATGTTTGAATACAGTACACATGAAGTATGTTTTAATACAGTACATATGAAGTATGTTTTAATACAATACACATGAAGTATGTTTTAATACAGTACACATGAAGTATGTTTTAAAACAGTACACATGAAGTATGTTTTAAAACAGTACATATGAAGTATGTTTTAAAACAGTACATATGAAGTATGTTTTAATACAGTACACATGAAGTATGTTTTAAAACAGTACATATGAAGTATGTTTTAATACAGTACATATGAAGTATGTTTTAATACAGTACATATGAAGTATGTTTTAAATGTCTCCAGTACCGATAAAAAGTCAGATAACGTCAGAGCTTAACGGTACCACTGTCTTTAATAATTCCGGCCCGAGGCCCGTTTAATACCGGGGCTCGGTACCCATCCCTACATGGGGAGAGGTACCCATCCCTACATGGGGAGAGGTACAGCATATTGCTGAGGACTATACGATGGAGAGTTCTCATCTCAGCCCTATTACCCACGGGGGATGAAGAGGAGACGCTCCAGGGTTCTGCTGTGCGTTTTCCTGATGTAAAGAATTGCAGAATTCATCCACGGGATGCCAGTGTACACACTCAACCCGCCAAATACACACACTCAGTACATGTGTGTGTGTGTGTGTGTGTGTGTGTGTGTGTGTGTGTGTGTGTGTGTGTGTGTGTGTGTGTGTGTGTGTGTGTGTGTGTGTGTGTGTGTGTGTGTGTGTGTGTGTGTGTGTGTGTGTGTGTGTGTGTGTGTGTGTGTGTGTGTGTGTGTGTGTGTGTGTGTGTGTGTGTGTGTGTGTGTGTGTGTGTGTGTGTGTGTGTGTGTGTGTGTGTGTGTGTGTGTGTGTGTGTGTCGCAGTTTGCTAAATGTTTTGTGTGTTTATGTTGACAAGGAGGTTTAATAACTGTGTGCTACACAAAACGTGCAGTCAGTTTCATTTTCATCGCCATTTGTATTCGAGTTAGCAGGGTATTTTTATTTTAACTCTCGTCCCAAAATTATTTTTTATCCTCCCCGACCCTATTTCTTCCGACGACGGGACGTCCTTAAGCTCGAGCCCTGGTTCCAGGTGTGTTTGGTTCCCGGTGTGTGTGGTCTCAGGTGTGTGTGGTTCCAGGTGTGTGTGGTCTCAGGTGTGTTTGGGTCCAGGTGTGTGTGGTTCCAGGTGTGTGTGGTCTCAGGTGTGTGTGGTCTCAGGTGTGTTTGGGTCCAGGTGTGTGTGGTTCCAGGTGTGTGTGGTCTCAGGTGTGCTTGGTTCCAGGTGTGTGTGGTTCCAGGTGTGTGTGGTTCCAGGTGTGTGTGGTTCCAGGTGTGTTTGGTTCCAGGTGTGTTTGGTTCCAGGTGTGTGTGGTTCCAGGTGCGTTTGGTTCCAGGTGTGAGGCTCAGAGCATTCAGGGTCTCACTGTCCAGCTGCATGTACACATATATATAATATATTAAAACTAGGGCTGTCAAGTTAACGCGTTAATAACGAGTTAATGCAAAACATTTTCAACGCCACAAATTATTTTAACGTTCGATTAACGCATGTGTATTTGTCCTCGGCCCGCCCCGTAGTTTCAGAGCCCAAAGGCTTCACGTTGTTGTTGTTGTTAGTTGGATGGTGGAGGACGAGGGGCTGCGTTAGATCATTCGGATCGCATCCAACGTGTCGACTGCACATCACAGCGCATTATTTTGACCCACAGTGGAAACTTCAGTTCATGCTTTGACTGTTATGAAGACAGAGCAGCGGCATTTCGCCAACAACTGTAAACATATAAATAAATAAATAAATATTCCTCTAAGGTGCATTTAGAACAGATAAAAAATGTGCGATTAAAGGTGGGGTAGGTAAGTTTGAGAAACCGGCTCGAGATACACTTTTTGTTATATTCCATGGAATGCTCTTAACATCCTGATAGCAATGAATATCTGAAGTGCTTTGACAAAGAATCCATAAAAAGAATTTAATCTGTGGAAGCCGTGGTACTGTAAAAAGCACGACCAATCATCTGAGCCGGCCCGGCTAAAATAACTGGATGGCCTACCTGCCTGTCAGCCTTCCATCTGTGCACAAACTTATCTCGTGCCCTCATTGGTCATGTGCGCGTTCGTGTGTGTTGGAGGAGGGGCTCTGTAAGGAAGTGGCAGATTTTTTCCGGTTGTGTATTTTCAAATTCTAGCGATCTCGAGCCGGTTTCTCAAACGTACCTACCCTACCTTTAACTATGGACATCACGCGATTAATCGCGATTAAATATTTTAATCGACTGACAGCCCTAATTAACGTGTGTCTCTGTCTCTGCAGCGTTATCTGTCTCTGGAGATCAGCTGAGTGTCTCAGTGGAACCCGGAACCTCCTGCAGACCAGAACCAGGACCTGAGCCGGACCTCCACCCGGCCCCCGGGGAGGAAGGGGAGGATGAAGAGGCTGAAGAGGGGGAGGAGGAAGAGGAAGAGGGGGAGGAGGAAGAGGCGTCTCTCTGCTGCAGAGTCTGCGGGAAGTCGTTTGACAGGAAAGGGTTCCTGATGAAGCACGCTGAGTCTCACCTGAAGGAGGCGCCGTGGCTCTGTGGTCTCTGTGGAGCGGGCTCAGAGTCCAGCGCCGGGCTGAAGGTCCACCTGCAGACGCACCGGGACCGGAGCAGAACCTGCGACGTCTGCGGGAAGAAGTTCCCTTCGATCCGAGCGCAGGAGACGCACCGCCGGCTGCACACCGGAGAGAAACCCTTCAGATGCTCCGTCTGCGGGAAGGACTTCAACCAGAAGGGCAACATGGTGACTCACATGCGCACTCACAGCGAGGAGAAACCCTTCGGATGCTCCGCCTGCAGGAAGCAGTTCAGCCAAGCCGCATCTCTGGAGCGACACATGCAGGTTCATGTTGATGTTGAGAAGATTGGAGAGAAACCCTTTAGCTGCTCCGTCTGCGAGGCTGCGTTCAGTAAGAGCGCCGAGCTGAGGCGGCACCGCCTGAGCCACGAGGCCCGCGGTCCGCCGGTCCAGAGCCCCAGCAGGAAGCCCAGTCTGAAGCCCAGTCTCACGCCCTCTCACCGCTGCAGGGTCTGCGGCAGCGCCTTCCACAACAAGGGGAACTTCATGCGTCACGCAGAGACTCACCTCCACGAAACCCCGGGGCTCTGTGGGGTCTGCGGCGAGACCTCGGAGACCCCGGAGAGTCTGCAGATCCACATCCAGAGCCACAGGAAGACCAGCAAGATCTGCGACATCTGCGGCATGGCCTTCAGGGACATGGAGATCCACATGAGGACTCACTCGGGACAGAAGCCCTTCAGCTGCTCAGACTGCGGGAAAGACTTCCCCAGGAAAGGCTCTCTGGAGAGACACATGAAGCTGCACGCCGGCGAGCGGCCGTACATCTGCGAGTTCTGCGGGAAGACCTTCGTGGAGAACACGGTCCTGAAGAGACACATCAAGAGCCACACGGGGGGGAAACCCCGCATCTACGCCTGCGATGTCTGCGGCAAGAAGTTCACCATGAGCCAACACCTGGATGTGCACAAGAGGATCCACACCGGGGAGAAACCCTACACCTGCAGGGTCTGTGGGAAGAGCTTCCGGCAGATCGGGAACCTGGACTCGCACTCGAGGATCCACACGGGAGAGAAGCCCTTCATCTGCAGCCTCTGCGGGAAACGCTTCCGGCAGAAGATTTCTCTGGAGACACACGAGCGCTTCCACAAGAAGGAGAAACCCTTCGGCTGCTCGCTGTGCAGCAAAGGCTTCGTGCAGAAGATCGACCTGAAGAGACACATGCTGACGCACACGGGGGAGAAACCCTACAGCTGCTCCCTCTGTGGGAAGAGCTACCAGGAGAAACGCTCCGTGGACTCGCACATGAAGGTGCACGCCGCCGAGAGGGAGACACTGGGGGGGGGAGTGGGCGAGAGAGTGGGGGAGAGACAGACGGAGAGAGTGGGGGAGACGCGACAGGAAGCAGCAAACACCGACTTCATCCAGCTGTGACGAGCAGACACACCTGGAGACAGAGTTTAACACCTGGAGACAGAGTTTAACACCTGGAGACTGAGTTTAACACCTGGAGACAGAGTTTAACACCTGGAGACTGAGTTTAACACCTGGAGACTGAGTTTAACACCTGGAGACAGAGTTTAACACCTGGAGACTGAGTTTAACACCTGGAGACAGACTGAGTTTAACACCTGGAGACAGACTGAGTTTAACACCTGGAGACTGAGTTTAACACCTGGAGACTGAGTTTAACACCTGAGTTTAACAACTGGAGACAGACTGAGTTTAACACCTGGAGACAGACTGAGTTTAACACCTGGAGAAGAGTCCAGATGTTCGGTTTAAAGGATCTTAAAGCGTTTTTCTTGCAGACCCTGAACTCGTTACCCATCATTCATCACTTCCTGTACAAGTTATTGTTTATCTTTACTGTTGAATATTTCCGAGAGCATCGAGATAACGAAGTTGTTTAATAATAAACTAAAGTCAAAAAAACATTTGAGATTTCTTGTGTGGTTTCTTCTGAAAGAAGAGTCTCTACGTTAGCAACACTGAAGACCATAGAGAGCTACGTTAGCAACACTGAAGACCATAGAGAGCTACGTTAGCAACACTGAAGACCATAGAGAGCTACGTTAGCAACACTGAAGACCATAGAGAGCTACGTTAGCAACACTGAAGACCATAGAGGGGACAAGGCTTTCATATTCTCCTTGATGAGGCTCGGGGGGGGGGCTCGTTGATGAGGCTGAGGGTCAGTGGGGGGGGGGGCTCGTTTAGGAGGCTGAGGGTCAGTGGGGGGGGGCTCGTTGATGAGGCTGAGGGTCAGTGGGGGGGGCTCGTTGATGAGGCTGAGGGTCAGTGGGGGGGGCTCGTTGATGAGGCTGAGGGTCAGTGGGGGGGGCTCGTTGATGAAGCTGAGGGTCAGTGGGGGGGGGCTCGTTGATGATGCTGAGGGTCAGTGGGGGGGGGCTCGTTGATGAGACTGAGGGTTAGTGGGGGGGGCTCGTTGATGAGGCTGAGGGTCAGTGGGGGGGGGCTTGTTGATGAGGCTGAGGGTCGGTGGGGGGGGGCTCATTGATGAGGCTGAGGGTCGGTGGGGAGGGCTCGTTGCTGAGGGTCAGTGGGGGGGCTGAGGGTTATTGGGGGGGGCTTGTTGATGAGGCTGAGGGTCAGTGGGGGGGGGTCGTTGATGAGGCAGAGGGTCAGTGGGGGGGGGGCTCGTTGATGAGGCTGAGGGTCAGTGGGGGGGGGCTCGTTGATGAGGCTAAGGGTCAGTGGGGTGTGTAGAGCACCAGATGTGTGTAGGGCACCAGGTGGGTGTGTAGGGCGTAGGGCACGAGGTGTGTGTAGGGCACCAGGTGTGTGTAGAGCGCCAGGTGTGTGTAGAGCACCAGGTGTGTGTAGGGCACCAGGTGTGTGTAGAGCGCCAGGTGTGTGTAGAGCACCAGGTGTGTGTAGGGCACCAGGTGTATATGGAGGGTTGGTAGCAGCACAATGGGGTGAACTGAGCTCGGGTTTCTTTTGTTGACCGTATGATTCTGTTTGTTTATTGTTTTGATTTCCAATATTAAATATCCTTAAAACGTTAAGATCAGTACAGAATTTAAAGGGAATATAGCTGTCTCTACGACCTGCATCCTGTGGTTACTAAAACCCTTTAGGATAGCTGTCTCTACGACCTGCATCCTGTGGTTACTAAAACCCTTTAGGATAGCTGTCTCTACGACCTGCATCCTGTGGTTACTAAAACCCTTTAGGATAGCTGTCAGTACGACCTGCATCCTGTGGTTACTAAAACCCTTTAGGATAGCTGTCAGTACGACCTGCACCCTGTGGTTACTAAAACCCTTTAGGATAGCTGTCAGTACGACCTGCATCCTGTGGTTACTAAAACCCTTTAGGATAGCTGTCAGTACGACCTGCACCCTGTGGTTACTAAAACCCTTTAGGATAGCTGTCTCTACGACCTGCACCCTGTGGTTACTAAAACCCTTTAGGATAGCTATCTCTACGACCTGCACCCTGTGGTTACTAAAACCCTTTAGGATAGCTGTCAGTACGACCTGCACCCTGTGGTTACTAAAACCCTTTAGGATAGCTGTCAGTACGACCTGCATCCTGTGGTTACTAAAACCCTTTAGGATAGCTGTCAGTACGACCTGCACCCTGTGGTTACTAAAACCCTTTAGGATAGCTGTCTCTACGACCTGCACCCTGTGGTTACTAAAACCCTTTAGGATAGCTGTCAGTACGACCTGCACCCTGTGGTTACTAAAACCCTTTAGGATAGCTGTCAGTACGACCTGCATCCTGTGGTTACTAAAACCCTTTAGGATAGCTGTCAGTACGACCTGCACCCTGTGGTTACTAAAACCCTTTAGGATAGCTGTCTCTACAACCTGCACCCTGTGGTTACTAAAACCCTTTAGGATAGCTGTCTCTACGACCTGCATCCTGTGGTTACTAAAACCCTTTAGGATAGCTGTCAGTACGACCTGCACCCTGTGGTTACTAAAACCCTTTAGGATAGCTGTCTCTACGACCTGCATCCTGTGGTTATTAAAACCCTTTAGGATAGCTGTCAGTACGACCTGAAGATACCACACACCATTTTGCGCTGTTGCTGCAAAATGGAAACTTTGTTGATTATCTGTTCCAACTGGCCACTGGATTCAGATAATTAATATAAGTTGAAGTTTTAATTACAGTTTTAAATATAGTTTAACATTCTTTATTAAACTGCTTCAAATGGTTTCTCGTATCAACCAATTGGTCTCCATAGACATTACTACAATTCTAATAGTTGTTAAACTACTGACAAGTTTTCTGAAACCGAGCTTATGAACAAAAGAGTAAAGGTCGCTGGTTAAGCCAGGATCAATAAATTTGTTGACGTTTTCATTACTGTGTGCATATAATGTGTTAAATGAATTGAGCAATTATTTAAAAGTATAATGTTGCAATCTCTTTACAATAAGTAATTACAGTTAACAAAGAAGTAGAGGTTGTTTTCCAAGGGCCTCTCCTTCACAGCCCTACACTTTAAATCATGAGACTTTCAAATCATAACAGACAGAGATCGGTATCACTTTGTGTTGCAAGCCAAATCCATGTAAAGGTTCTACTTGAGCCCAATTGAAATACCATAAAGAAAGTATTGAACCCAGCTCAAGCTAAATGTCAAATGTATTTAATTAATGTACAAGTGTTTTGATTTATTTAAAATGTTCCAGTCTAGCTTCTTCGAGTTCAGTCTAAGCAACAAATTGTTTCTCATAACATTCTCACTGCTGTCCCAAATGTTTTAACCTTGGGCTGTTCACACACACACACACACCCACACACACACACACACACCCACACACACACACACACACACACACACACACACACACACACACACACACACACACACACACACACACACACACACACACCCACACACACCCACACACTTTGGATAAGTAGTCACCTTATCCACATTGTAAATTGTTGCCTTCTTTAAAGTTATTAGTAATTTAAGATTAATTATTAAATTAAATGTGGTACATAAGATAAAATAAATAAAATAACTTGACTTGATCATTTTGTTCACAACATTAGACCCGTCCTCTAATCTCTACTAGAATAAGATAAGTGTGCATGTTTGGATGTTTTATCACTCCTGTAATGTACCTAATCTTGATATCCTTTTCATTACAGAGCTGGGAAAATGGTGTATTGATTAGATTCTGATCCGTGTACGTCCAATTTTGACTGACTTTAGTTCTAATGTTAATGTTAATTTGACTTCAACCCATAAGTAATTATTTTAATTAACTCTAAATGTCACATGATGATGGATTAGTGTTCCACATTTCTTCCACTAATTTGTTTTACAATTAGGCCAAAGGTAAAGAGAGACATTGATGACCTTGTGTCCCTTTTGTTAGTACGTGGTTCCATTTTATCTATGGCCTTGGACGGCTTCACTAAAAGTCACCCAGTTCTGCCCTGCTGCAGTCCGGCTGAGTGCAGTCACAGAGATGCTATGGCTGCTCTACATGACATTAATGGTCTGGTCCGAGAATGGACACCATTTCCTGCTCCCAGAGAGAATGACACTCCTCAAACTGAACATTACAGCCGTTGATACTGTCTCACATGGGTCTGCTCCCCCCCACTGAGCCATGAACTGAAAGCTGACATCTGCTTTAAACACTTGGAAGCCTCCTTGTCACACCAGCACCAACCCTTGGGTCAGTCAGATGAGACTAACGGCTTCACTTAGGGCATTTGGTTCAGATTAGGGCTGTCAAGTTAACGCAAAAAAAAATGAACGCCACTAATTATTTTAACGCGATTAACGCATGTGACTGCAACTTGTTCCTGTTCGCGGACGACTCAGCCCTGCTGGTCTCTGACAGGAGCAGATTGCAGGTTGAAAAAACCCTCAGCTCCGAGCTCGGCAGAATCTGCACCTGGCTCGCCGATAATAAATTATCATTACACCTGGGTAAAACAGAGTCCATTCTCTTCGGTTCGAAACATAATCTCAGCAAATCCGACGACTTCTCAGTTGCAGTGGGTGACATTATTGTCAAAAGTAAGAAGGAAATTACATACCTAGGATCTATTCTTGAGGCAAACCTCTCCTGTGACAAAATGGCATCCAATGTAATAAAAAAAGTCAATCAAAGAACTAGATTCCTATACCGGATCTCCTCTCTGGTAAACAAAAACACCCTGAAAACTCTGGCAGGAGCACTCATTCAAGGGTACTATGACTATGCCTGCACGTCATGGTACCATAGCACCTCCAAGGCGCTAAAAATAAAACTTCAAACATCGCAAAATAAACTGGTCAGACTACTGCTTGACCTTTCATCTAGAACCCACCTCACCTCTGCCCACTTTGACAACCTAGGATGGCTTAGAGTAGACGACAGAGTACAGCTACTTGCAATGGGCCTGGTCTACAAGATCCACTACACCTCTATGGTACCCATGTACATGTCAAAATTCTTCCCAAAGGTCAAGGAATACCATGATCATAACACCAGAGGGAGCTCCACAAATCATGTAAAACCCAGATTTGGCACAAAAAAAGGGGGAATACACGTTTCGCAATTATGCCACATCAAGGTGGAACGCTCTTCCCACAACTGTAAAGGAAAGTAAAACTATACTTACCTTCAAAACCTCTCTTAAAGAGCACCTTCGGGGGAGAGCATTGCAAAACTGGCCCCGGTAATGGTACAAATCTCAACCTGTCGTACAATGGACAGCTTCCCCCCCCCATCTATGTATATACTCGCATTTTAGACTCTGTTACTAACTGTATATCTGTAGACTTGGTATGTCTTAAATGTCCGGTTAGGATGTATTAGAACGAAATCTAAAATGAAAATTGTAAATAAGCCATCTGTATGTAAAAAACCACCTGTATGTAAATTGTAAATAAGCCATCTGTATGTCAAATATGTCTTATATGTCTTAAATGATATGATGAATT